CGGGCCGTTTTTTTCTGTTGTGTGTGTGTGTGTGTGTGGACGGTTTACCCCCCCCCCCCTTCCCCGGCTTGTAAAGATATAGCAACGGGAATCTAGGGAAAATACACTGAACCCTGGGTCACCGAGAACATTCCACTACTTGCCAAGCGCCTGCTCGCAAACGTCCGAAAAAGCACATGTCCGCCTCGACGTCATAGATCGTAGATCCCCCGCGGCGACTCCAGGCCATGCGAGTAGCTACTTTGCGAGTAGTGGCACGCGCTCGTCTACTGCGATTTGTGTCCACTTGCCTGTGAGTCCCTCCCCGCGCGGCCGCCCTCGTCTTCCCTCTTGCACGCCAGACAATTCGCCTTTTCGGTTGCCCCGAGTAGCCACACGCTGGAGTCGCCGCCGACGGAAAAATTGGCTGTGTGCCCCCGGGTCCCTTCGGGGAGGGCCGCCGAAGAGACTGCCGAGGGCAGCGGGCCGCGCGCGCGGGAGCCCCCCCCCCCCCGCGCCCGGCGGAGGCGGTGCAGCGCCTCCCTGCGCAACATCCTGAGGACGGCCGGCGGCGAGCGCGGGGCGGCCGAGGCGGGGCGCCCGCTGGCCAGTCCCGTCCCCTGCGGGCGGAGCGCCACCATGCTCGCAGGAGCATTTGAATTTGACATGTGTCGTCGTCGTCGTCGTCGTCGTCGTCGGCGTCGTCGGCGTCGTCGGCGTCGTCGGCGTCGTCGGCGTCGTCGTCGTCGCCGGCGTCGTCGGCGTCGTCGGCGTCGTCGGCGTCGTCGGCGTCGTCGTCGTCGCTGCCAAAGAAGGGCGGTTCCCAGAGACCGAGATGGAGCGACAACTTTGGGCGTCGCGCAATGGGGGGGGGCGACAAAGCTGCGGGGCAGCGAGGGCTGCAAAGAAGGGGCTCGATGAGGGCCCCTACAGGAGCCCTTTCTGGCCCCTAAGAGGGCCTGTAGGGTCCGAAAAGTGCGCCTTTCTCTCCCCTCCCTCTCTTTTTATCGACCCCCATTAAGCGACGCCCAAACAGTCAAGCCTCTCCAGGGATGGCCTCTGCGGTTTTCCCCTTTTCCCCCCCCCCCCCCCGAGAGGCCTGGGAGGACGAGGCCCCAGCCCACGAGCGCACCGTGGGCGCGACCTCGTACATGCCCGTGCTGGCGGCCGACGGCTTGGCGCGGGCCCTAAGACGGCGACGACAGCAACCACGCTGCCGCGGGCGGCAGTGGCAGCGACGAAGGCAACGACGACGGCGACGGCGGCGGCGGTGGCGATGAGGATGGCATGGGTGGCGACGATCACCATAGCCCCGAGTTATCAGGGCAGGGGGTGGTTACTAACCACCCCCTGCGGAGTTGCCCTGAAATGCGCACAATTCGACAACTCCAGTTCCCCCAGACCAGAGCACCTGCTGCCCCATGTAGGGATTGCTTGGCACTCCCCTACAGCAGGAATGATTCCAGATCGAGCGGTGCCATGGTTTTCCCGGAGCACGTCTGGGGACGCCAAATGATGGGCCTGTCTTCCACCACCACCACCACCACTATGAGTTAGAGGGGTGAAGGAGGTGGAGGACGAGGAGGAGGAGGACGAAGGGGAGGAGGAGGAGGAGGAGGAGGAGGAGGAGGAGGACGAAGAGGAGGAGAAGGAGGAGGAGGAGGAGGAGGAGGAGGAGGAGGAGAGCCCCTCCCTCTCCAACTTATGGTGGTGGTGGTGGTGGAAAGCAAGCCCATCACCAAACAGGGCAACACCTGGACCAGGTCTACCCCGGATCCGTCGGGTGCCCGCGGCGGAGGTGGCCTCGGGAAGGCACTGGGCGCCAGCGACGCGCGGCGGCCGCGAACGGCCCCGGGATCGGCAGTGGTGACACGGGCACGCCTTACAACGCAGGTTTTGTAATTTTCGTGGGCGGAAAAGAGGGGGGTGATGACTAGTGGGGGGTGGATATCATGGCGTGGGCCATGATATTTCCCCAGATTTCATGGCGCCTTTTCTTATTTCATTACGTCCCTGGCCCCCCCGCTGGGCCGCGCACATGCCGCCGGTCATGATTTGCACCCCCCCCCTCTTGGACACCCCCCTCTTGGCCGCTCCCGAAATCTCCATTCCTGCACTTGCTCCCGCACCGAACCCTGAGGGCTCCAGCCATGCCTGTGTTGCCTTCGTAGGGCCAGTGCGGCGGGGCCGACGCTGTGCGCCGCTTCGTTCGAAGCATCGTCTTCCTCGACCAACCCCTCCTGGGCCCGCTCCGGGCTCTTGAGGGTCAGGTTCAGGGTTTTGTTCACCAGATCTCCTTGGAGCCTGATCTAAGAGTTGCTGCTGCTAGCCGCTGGTGGAGAATCCGATCTCCTCAGGGGTGCCATTCCTATTAGTCCTCCTGCCCCTCCTCCTTTTACTCCTCCTCTTTCTCGTCATCCTTTCACACGAGACAGTGGCTGCCCCAGCTACGTGAGCGGAGCATTCTCCCGCCCTCTTCTCCGCCCCCCCCCCTCCCCACCACACCCATGTCGTAATTTCTACCATCGAAGACTCCCAGAGGCGTGGACCCCTTCCCGAGGACCGACCTCGCATCCTGAGTCAGTTGTTTGATGCTCCTGGGCCCGTCGAGGGCCCCCGAAGGCAGAACGGTGTAAAGAGGTGTGTCGTAATTGCCTGGCAAGCGCGGGGCTGGCTTTGCATCCCGCGCCGTCTTTGGACTGCCCCAGGGCCCGGCGATGGCCCCCGGACGCCGACGAGCACGGCGAACAGAACGTAGCGGAACTCCGCCCCGACCCTTCCCGAGACGCCGGATGTCTGTGCGCGCGCCGGCGCCCGGCGGACCCGCGAACCACCGAGGCGGCGGCGGGCCACCCGAGCCGCCCCGGCGGAGGCGACCCACCGCGCGGCCCCAGGGGGGCGGGTGTTTGCTAGAAGTGCCCCTGGCCCAAGGTGCCCCCCAGGATTTCCAAGGAGGCCCCCACGGCCTCCAGCGCGCCCCTCACGAGGCCCAGGGGGGCCCCAGGGGTTCCAAAATGGAGCGGGAAGCCTGGGGGTGCCCTGAGCCAGGGGGCAACGTCAGCAACCCCCGACAGGGGGGCGGGCGCATGCATGGTGTGCGGGCCCCCTTCGCAGGGGCGCGCTGGCGCCCTCTGAGATCCGATCCCGGATCTCCGACGCGGTGTGATTTTTGCAGTGCGGGCGTCTGTCTTCCATGCTGGCCCCTGGAGCTCCTTAACCTCAATCAATCCTTTGCTCCCCCCTCTGCTTCTCTCGGCGGAGGCAAAACTCGTGCCTCCTCTTCCGCCTGCTCCTCCTCTTCCCCCTCCTCCTCCTCCCCCTCGTCCTCGTCGCTGTTGCGCGGCGGGTGCCGCGGGCGAACAGTCATTTTCTGCTATTGGCGGGGCCCCAGTCCGTCAATACAGACGTCGGACAAATAGTTGGGCTCTTCCACAGTTTGGGGGGGTTCTAAGAAGTTATATCGAGAGGTCATCGGGCCCCGGGGCCGTCAACAACGCACCTGGGACGAGACTCTGCCCGCGAGGAAGCGGTCGGGACCACGGCCCAGAGATGCCCGCGGGGAAGCGGTCAGGACCACGGCCCAGAGATGGGACAAGTCATACGGTGGGGGCGTTGGTCAAGGAATGTGCCCAGGCGGGTCCAAACCCTGCAGGATTCCTTACCTGATGAGGGCGGCGTTGATATCCATGGCCAAGCCTCAATTGGCGTTCCACGGGCTTTCAGACCCTGGGTTCCTTATCTAAGGGTTCCTTATCCCGTGCCCTCACCGTGTCGGTGCATGTCCGGGATCCTGGAGTCTTGCAACTTTCTGTTCGCACCACCAGGCTTCTCCTTCTCCGTAGCCATTTTGGCTCAAGTGGCCGCCGCCTGCCCTAGAGTTCGGTGCTTCGCTGGCAACTTTTGTGAAGATGATTCGGCGCAGAGCTTGCCGTTTTTTGATTGCGTCTGTAATACTATCCTCACTATTATCTGTTTTTGTTTACATTCCACCCAGAGCAGCGCGTGGACACTTCACAGAGCAGCGCGTGTGCACTCACACGCGGTGCGGCGGTTACTTTCTCAATCCTGCAGGTTTCGCCTTGGTGGCATTGCCAGCAGTGCGTAAGCTTGTTTTGGAAGTCTATGATGAACGATTTGCGACAACACCCATGTTATGTCCAAGATCCACGACAGGCACAGCTCATTTTCATTGACTACGACACATTGAGACATTGCTCCTGGCCTGATCAAATCAAACGTTGCAGGGATGCGGAAGGGCAGATCGAGCCTATCTCCACACTTATGCTGTGTCGAATTATGGACATTGTTACACTCAGAAGAGGAAGACCATGCAATTGGCCTTCTTTCCGTGGAGACTACATCTGGGCTGAAACAATGCTCAAAGCCGCCAAACTTTATCCAAATGCCGCTTATGTATTTGTGTCAAACATGAACAGCTGGAGTTCTGGCAATCGTGACATTGATCTCTTGAAGGTTCGCAGTAAGGATTGGAATATTTCTTTGCGTTGTGTTGGCTTCGACTTGCCACTTTCACGGGTAACTCGTAGCACTGATGTGAATTTGCTTCCGCCACTCTTCCATAACAAATTGTTCTTGGAAGATAGTCCAGCGAACAGGTCAGGGTGTGAGATGAGGGAGTATTTGGTCTGTTTCTTTGGCAGGCCATCAACACCTATGCGATCACGTTTGTACAGGTTGCGCAACATATCGGCTGGAATCCTGGTTGAGCAGACTGGTCTAAATACGTCGATGGGTGCAGCTTATGGCACAATAATGCGGAAGTCTACTTTTGGTTTTGCGCCACGAGGAGATGCTCACTTTTCATATCGCCTCACTGAGCTTTTAGCAACAGGCACAATTCCCGTTGTGATTGATGATGATTTTATGCCTCCCTTCGGCGCTCGCAACATCAGTTCGTGGGCAGTGTTGCTGCCTGAAGCCAACATCGAAGATGCACACTTGATATTGGCAGGCATCAGCTCAGCAGAGATATGCCTGATGAGGCGGGAAGGCGTCAAAATCTTTGCGAAGGCAGGCTCTATCGGTAATATGTTGGAGGGTTTGCTGCAAGGGCTCGCTCTGACTGTCTGAATCTTGGAATGAATGGATTACGTGACGAAGGTGATGATGGCTGATTGCTTGAACTTCATGCATGAGCTTCTTCTGATCCCTAATGTCTTTGATGGGTGAGCGCTGGCCAAGCATACTTGCTGTGCGCAGCTTCAGTTGTGGCCATCCTCACGCATGAAACTTTCGCGTTGTTTGCATTTTGCATGTGTTGAGTAGTCCTACAGCAGGCACCACCAGGCTTCTCCGCCCAGCTTCGGGCCCTGCCCTGGGCCATATGTAGGGTCCCATTCTGAGCTTAAGTCGGGCACGTCCTCTTACAGGAGGAATGCTCAAAAATAGTAAAAAATAGTCCGGGGACGATTTTTTCAAATACAACGTTTATACTTTTTGGAGGGTGTTTTCTGACTACTTTGTATTGTTCGTCCAAATTCCGCCTGTAGGAGGACGCGCCCGACCTAACTCTGAGCCCGTCCGGCGCCCGATAGCCGAGCCCCGGCCGCTCGGCTGCCGAGCGGGCCCAGCTCCCACCCACGCTGGTGGCACCGAGCCCCTTCGGCTGCTCCATCGCTCGGCGGCCGAACGTGTCCTCGGGCGCCGAAGAAGCGGGCCCCGATCGCCCTCGCTCGAGACACGCCGCATGCCGGGAGGCCGCGCTCACGGGGCTCCGGCCGTGTTTTGGTGCGCTATGTTTGATTCAGTCGGGCACGTCCCTCTGCAGGAGGAGTATTCCAACATAGTCACAAAAAAAGAATCAAGGGACGATTGTTTGACTCTGTTTGACTATTTGGGAATATTTTCTGACTAGTTTGCATTCTTCTTCCAGAATCCCTCTGTAAGAGGACATGCCCGACCGAACGCTGTGTTTTTCCTCGCGACGCCTGAACCAGACATCCGGCTGCTCCCATTCTTTCTGCGCGGGGGCCCCCGAGGTCCGGACCACTTCCCCAGCAGGGCTGGGCTTCGTCCCGGGGCGCTCCTTGACGCCCCCGAGGCCAGGCGAGGGCCCACCGAGGCGGACAACGGCCCAAAGACGTCCGCTCCAATTTTCTCGGGGCTTCCGATCTCGCGACGCCGGACCTCCGCCTCGGGGGGCCCGCGTTGCCGCCAGGAAGAGGCCCCCTTCGGACGTGGCCAGGACGAGGGCAAGTCCGTTCCAGCACGCGCTCAGAGCGCTCCGGAGCGGTCTGGGAGGGTCGCGGCGACCGACGCATCCTCCAGAGCCGCCAGATCTCAGAGATGCTGAGTAGAACAGCAACTCGCAGAACATGAGTGAGACTAGCAGCAGGAATCAGCTGGGGCGCCAAAGTGGACAGTACAGCGTTAAAGGCAGACTACCAGAAGGGGTTGGGGCTCCAGAGGGGGAGACGGGGGAGGGGGATGGAGGGGGGAAGGAGACGAGGGTCATATTTCATATATATATATATATATATATATATATATATATTCTCCTCTCCCTATATTTTTACAAGACCGGGGGGGGGAAAACCCATCCCCCCCCCAAAACCGGACTCCCAGGATCTGAGGCTTTGGGACCCTCTGGACGGGCCTCGAAGCGGCCCCCCTGGCCTCGCAGGGCGTTTTGCCAAGCCTCCCCAGCAGACCTAGGGCGATCAGGGGGGTCATCGGAGACGTCTCAGAGACCCCCATGACAGCGCAAGAGCGCTCCAAGAGTGACCGACGTGACCTCAAGATGGCCCAAGAGGCCAAGAGGCCCCCAAAAGCACTCCCAAGAGGCAAAAATCATTGATTTTCCAGCAGTTTTTGGTGAATCTTGGGGTTCTCCTCTTTTCGGCTTCCCGACGCTCCAAGACGGCGGTCTTCTGGGCGTCCGAAGCCACCTGGGAGGCTCCAAAATCGCCCCACAACCATCCGAAAGGGCTTCCAGGCAGTCCAAGAGAGCCCCAAAACGGCACAACACGGGTCCAAGATGGCCCTCAGAGAGCACCATGGTGGCCCAAGATGGCCCCAAGACACCCTCCGAAGCATTCCAAATCGTGACCCGGTCGTTCACGGAGACCGTGGTTGGAGGCAGGGTGGCCCGAGGAAGCCCCCAGAGGCCCCCAGAATACGCCCAGGAGGCCTCCAGAAGGCCTTAAGAAAGCCTGAGACCATTTTTTTTAGGCCCCCAGAGGCTCTCCCAGGAGGAGCCTCCGCAAAAAAAAGCTGAGGAGGATAGGGAGAATGCGCAGGGTATGGCGAGCATGAGGAAAAAAAAGCATGGAGGAAGGATAACGAATATCATTATCATAGCGGCGATGTCGGAAAAGGCAACAAGGAGTTATCGCTAAATTGTCGGCTTGATCTTCCTGCTATTCCGCCTGCAAACCAAACTTCAAGGACCAAGGTGCATGGCGCGAAGCGCCACTGCAGTCTTGTGTATATATATATATAGATGTATATATAGGCACTTGCCAGTCAGCACAAACCAATGACTGATCTTTGGGCTCCCGCATTTCCCCCCTGAAACCTGCTGCCCTGCTTGTTGCCAGCCAGGTCGTGTACTCTCATGGACCTCACTTCCGCGATCTCATACGCTCCCACGGGGGCGATAACCAGTCAAGACAGACCAGCCATGGTCTCTGCTGACCGCCTTGCGCGCCCTCGGGAAGGGGGAGAGGAGAGGCCGGGATGGGCGGAGAGCGGGGGTCCCAGGAGCGAGCTACAGGCTGGGGCTCTGCCACGCCTGGGCTCCGAGCATCTCTCCTGCACGGCAGAAGGCGGATCCACCGCCCGCTGTTTGCCTGTCATCCGCAATGCACCTCAGCACGCCGACTCTTTCTGGGCTGCCCCCCCCCCCCCCCGTGCAGCGCCTGATGGCACGCTGCGCGGCAGTGCATCAAGCGCCACAACAACAAGCTGCTGACCTTTTACAGATGCTCTGGACACCTCACATTTACAACATGCGCACCATCGACCAGAGGCCTGGTGCCATACACGGCTCGAGGTAATTTAGGCGGTACCTTATGTCCTTTACTATCACTCGCCACGGTGCCCTTATCTCGTCGCAGGGCTAGCCAGTGTGTGTGTGTGTGTGTGTGTGTGTGTGTGCGTGGGTTGGTTAATGAAATGTGCTGTATGGCTTGTCGGGCCGCTCTGCGGAGAGCGGCGCGGGGAACAGCGTACCGTCTTGTGTCCGCGCTGACCGCGGTTGAAAAACGTTCTCTGGGCGAAGGACCACATCATGGGTGCCGCAGTTGTGAACATCGCCTTCAGTGGAGTTCCCCATGGGGCCACGAAACGTGTGAGAGGTGTGCCGAGATGGGCCTGGGGGCGCGTGCGAACCCTGCCATTCGGGCCCTTGGTGGAGCTCCCTATGGGGCCACAAAGCGTGTGAAGGGTGTGCTGGAATGGGCCTGGGCACGCATGCGAGCTGTGCCTCCAGGGCCTTCGGTGAAGCGCCATGTGGTGCCACGAATCATGCGTGGGGCTTGCCGGAATGGGTGGGGAACCGCATGCAATCCACTCCCCTGAAGCATTCGGTTAAGCCTCTTGTGAGGCCACCAAACGTGTGAGGGGTGTGCCGAAAGGTGGGGATCAGCATGCGCCGCCCCCTCTCCTGGGGGCTTCGGTGGAGCTACCTGCGGGGCCACGGAACGTATAAGTGGTATGTCGACATGGGTGGGGAACCGTATGCAACCCCCCCTTGGAGGGCTTCGGTGGAGCTCCTGTCGGATTACGAAACGTGTCAGGGGTGTGCCGACATAGGCGGGGAAGCGACCCCCCCCCCCGAGGACTTCGGTGGAGCCCCTTTGTGGGGCCATGCAACGTGTGAGGGGTGTGCCGAAATGGGTGTGGAACCGTATGCGTCACCCACCTCGTGGGGGCTTCGGTGGAGCTCTCTGTGCGGTCCACGAAACGTGTGAGGCGGGTGAGGGGTGTGCCGGTGTGCCGACATGCGCTGGGAACATCATGCAACCCACCCTACTCTCAGGGCTTAGGTGGAGCTCACTGCGGGAAGCGTGTGAGGGGTGTGAAACGGGCGGGGACCAGCACGCGAAATCCTTCCTCCTGGGGGGGTCGGTGGAGCTCCCTGTGGGGCCACGAAACGTTTGCGGCCTGCGTCGAAACAGGCGGGGCCCCGCCCATGTCGAGATAGGCAGTGGCGCCCCGCCGCGGGGCGGTACCGCGCTACCCGCCCAGTTCCCCAGCCCTACCCGTCATCCATCGGTGCCGCTCCCTCCAGTGGCGCCACTCCTGCCCACCACGAGGCGGCTTCTTCTGGCACGTCGCCTGAGGAGGTTCGCACCATTGCCGCGGAGGACCAGTCCCCCCCCCCGCCTGGCAGCAGCCCGGCCCCCTCGCTGCCGCCCCCGCGGCAAGTCCCGCCCCGCAAGCCTTCAAGTCCCAGAGCATCCCCCCGGCGACCTCGCGCAGTTCGAGGACATCCTATTTCCCTTCACGCATGGCTCTGCAGGAGAGGCCGGCTCGCAGAAGCGGGGCGCACCCTCGCGAGAGCTCCCGCGGCCGAGCCGCCCCGCCTCGCTTCCCAGGTGCGGGCCACGGGCGGCCATGCGCGCGCCCCCCCTTCCCAGCAGCAGCGGGGCAGGGCCGCGCCCGGGGCGGCGAACGCGCGGACAAGGACTCCGAGTCCGGCATGGGCGCCGGGGCGTCGCGGCCGGAGGAAAAGGAGGCCGCGCGGCACGGCATGGCGACCGTGCAGCGCAGGGCTCGGGGGGGGGGGGGGCGGCAGCCTGGGAGGCGACAGGAGCACGCCCAGGCCGTTCGGAGGCCGAGGGGCCGCCCCCCCCCCTCCCCACCCGGTCTTTCCCACTGCGGGGTTGCCTCGGTGCTTCCGCGTCCTCCGCCGTCTCCTCCACGCGCGGGCAGCTCGCCCGGCAGCCCAGCTCGTCGGGGTCTCAGCCCAGCTCGTCGGGGTCTCAGCCCAGGCGCGCTCTCCGCACCCCGTCGTCTTCGGACCCTGCCTGGGTGGTCATATGCGGTCGATATGGTCCCGCCTCTGAGGGCCCAGTCGCCCGCGTCAGCTCTGTGCCCGTCTGCTCGTTGTTGCTCCGCCTTGTCGCTGCGCGCGAGGCCGCGATCGCCAAAAAGTGTGTTTGTGTGTGTGTGTGCGCGTGTGTGTGTGTGTGAGTGTGTGTGTGTGTGTGTTCGTGCGCGCCCGCGCGTGTGTGTGTGTGCGCGTGTGTGTGCGCGTGTGTGTGTGTGTTTGTGTGTGCGCGCGCGTGTGTGTGTGTGTGTGTTTGTGTGTGTGCGCGGGTGTTTTTTGTGTGTGCGCGGGTGTTTGTGTGTGTGCGCGTGTGTGTGTGTGTGTGTGTGTGTGTGTGCGCGCTTGTGTGTGTGTATGTGTGCGCGCATGTGTGTGTGTGCGCGCATGTGTGTGTATGTGTGCGCGCATGTGTGTGTGTGTGTGTGCGCGCGTTTGTGTGTGTGTGTGCGCGCATGTGTGTGTGTGTGTTCGTGCGCGTGTGTGTGTGTGTGTGTGTGTGTGTGGTGTGTGTGGTGTGCGCGTGCGTGTGTGTGAAGGTGTGTGTGTGTGCGCGTTTGTGTGTGTGTGCGTGCGCGCATGTGTGTGTGTGTGTGTGTCGTGCGCGTGTGTGTGTGCGCGTGTGTGTGTGTGAAGGTGTGTGTGTGTGTGTGAATGTCTGTGTGTGCGCGTGTGTGTGTGTGGTGTGTGTGTCTGTGTGCACGTGTGTGTGTGTGTGTGTGTAAGTGTGCGTTTGTGTGTGCGCGCGCGTGTGTGTGTTTTTCTGTGTGTGTGGTGTTCGTGCGCGCGCGTGTGTGTGTATGTGTGTGAATTTGTGTATGTGTGTGTGCGTGCGTGCTTGCGTGCGCGCGTGCGTGCGTGTGTGTGTGTGTGTGTGTGTGTTCGTGCGCGCGCGTGTGTGTGTGTATGTGTGTATGTGTGTATGTGTGTGTGCGTGCGTGCGTGCGGGCGGGCGTGCGTGCGTGTGTGTGTGTGTGTCTTTGTGCGGTGTGTGTGTGTGTGTGTCTGTGTGCGCGTGTGTGTGTGTGTGTGTGTGTGTGTGCGTTTGTGTGTGCGCGCGCGTGTGTGTGTTTCTGTGTGTGTGTGTGTTCGTGCGCGCGCGTGTGTGTATGTGTGTATGTGTGTTGTGTGTGTGCGTGCGTGCGTGCGTGCGCGCGTGCGTGTGTGTGTGTGTGTGTGTGTGTGTGTTCGTGCGCGCGCGTGTGTGTGTATGTGTGTATGTGTGTATGTGTGTGTGCGTGTGTGTGTGCGTGCGTGCGTGCGTGCGCGCGCGCGTGCGTGCGTGTGTGTGTGTGTGTGTGTGTGTGTGTGTTCGTGCGCGCGCGTGTGTGTATGTGTGTATGTGTGTATGTGTGTGTGTGTGTGTGCGTTCGTGCGTGCGTGCGCGCGTGCGTGCGTGTGTGTGTGTGTGTGTCTTTGTGCGTGTGTGTGCGTGTGTGTTTGCGCGCTTCGGGTCGTTTGGAGCTCCTGGTGAGGTCTGGAAGTACCCGGTTGGAGCATATGCGGACCGCGCGGGCCGCAGAGCGAGAGGGCCCTGGCCCGCCTTGGATCGTATGTCGCCCTGGTGGGGGGGGCGATCCATGCATGGCGTGGGGGGGGGGTCGAGGAATGCAGGGACGGAGCCCCCAAGAGGTTCCCGGGGCCTTGGAGGTGCAGAGGTACACCTTTTATGCTTTCCCGCGGACTGCCCCCGCATCAAAAAAGAAAGCCCGGTCGCGGAAGCAGCCCGCACGCCTCCACACAGCTCGGCCTTGTTCTGCACGTCTGCTCGCCGTGGCCTCGGCGCGCGCTGCCGCGCCTGTGAGGCGAAGCTTCAGCGGGAAGCGGCGGGCTTTCTGGGAAGGCGTTGGGGTTTCGTGGAAGGTGGAGGACTTTTCAGAAGCCCGCCCTGAGCAGAGGAGGGCTTCGTGTAAGGCGGAGGGCTTCGTGGAGGGCAGAGGGCGGAGGGCTTCGTGGAAGGCGGAGGGCTTCTGAGCAGCCCTCTCGGGTTGGGCGTCGCGCAATGGGGGGCCGGTGCATGGGGGCGCGGCGAGGGCTGCAGAAAAGGGGCCTCGAGTGGCCACAGAGTTTACCTTTCTCTCCCCCCCTCCCCCCCTCCCCCATTCTTTGGGGCCCTAAAAGGCCCCTTTGGGGCAGCCCTCGCCGCCCCCCCATCTGCATCCCCCCCGTCACGCGACGCCCAAGTCAGGAACAACCCGGGCCCTCCTGGCAAGGCTCTGGAGGCCCTCTGGGACCCGGGCCGCGCCCGCCCCCTTGGCGCCACCCCTGGCGCTGCGCCCGCCGCCGCACCCGAAGGCAGCTGGGACTGGCCCCTCTCCCGGCTCGACCAGAAGGCCCGGCTCCTCATGATCGACCGCGAGATGCTGCTGCTGGAGCGGGAGGCGCCGTGCCGCAGCCCAGCCCTGGCGCACCGGTCCCGCTCCCCTGCAGGGCCGGGGAGGAGGAAGAGCCATGGGAGTGGCAGGCCTAGAGGGAATCCGACGACGTGGTGTTTGTCCTCGGTGTCGGCCTCCTGGGGCCCGCTATCGGGCCCCATGGGGCCATGTGAAGTGGATCCGTGGCGAAACGTGCCCCCAGGGAAAACTGTGCAGAGCCGCGCGCGGAAGAAGTCACAGCGACGGATGTCGGCGGTCACGATCTCACCTTGGAAATCGAGGGCCGTGGAGGAGGGTACGATCGAGGATCGATCAGGTTTTGATCGGGTTGGGTGCGTTTCGGGGTGTCCCGGCAGGCTCTGGGCGGTCCAGGAGGGCCCGTTTCCTCGTGGAGGTGCGACCGCCTTAGCGGCGCCCCCCCTTGGCACTGTCTGGGAAGGGGAGGAGGGGGAAAATGTTCGCCTCGCCGGGCGCTGTCGCCTCCTCCACAGACGTCCAACGTCTTGAGCAAAGGTCGAAGCGGGGGCTTAGTACGCCATAGGGGCGGACATCAGGAAAATCAAAGACGGCCCAGTGGTAACGAACGTCCAGTTGAAGGATTTTTGCGAGGCTGCCCCGACGGACGCAAGGCTGGGAACTGCCACAGGCTTCACCATCGCCCTCGGTAGAGCTAACCACATCATGTTCGTCTGTCCGCACTGCAAGACGGCCCCCCTCAAGCCGAAAGGGATCCTCTGGGGCCCTTCGGGACCCCTCGGGGCCCCTCGGGCTCCATGGGGCGGGAGCCCCCCACGGCTCCAAGGGGCCCCTTGGGGGCCCGCCGCAGGCAGCAATCGACGTCCGTCGACGACGCGTGCGACGACGCGAACGACGACTTTCACGACGACGACGACGACGACGACGACGACGACGATGGCGGCGGCGGCGGCGGCGGCAGCGACGACGACGACGACGACGACGACGTGTACGACGACGTACAACGACAACGCGCGACAGCCAAGTTCGGGCCAATCGGCTCCTGCACCATCTGCTTTGCCTTCGATTTCGATGCCGATCGGGATTCACGCAAGCCTGTTTCCAACTCGATCCGGTTCGGGTTTTCTGATCCTGACCGATTCGATGGCGCAGCCGACTCTTGCCGATTGTTGCCAGTTCGATGGTCGCGCCGATTCGATTTGATTTATCGCACCGATGTTGGGGCCGCCTGTTTGGTGGGCCCACCCAGGCGGTCGAAGCAGGCTTGGACTGGCACCCGGAACCCGAAATTCGAAGACCTGGCGAGGGGGGCTCCCAGGGGGAGACTAGTACGGGGGGGCGGGGTCCACGGGTGGCTCTCCGATATCAAAACACTCGAAGAGGGCATTGTGTTATATATGTATACTTATATATATATATAACAATATTCATATGCACACACATACGTGCATACATGCATACATACGTACACCGATCCATATACTCATTCGTACATACATACATACATACATACATACATACATACATGCATGTATGCATGCATGCATGCATACATACATAAAAAAGCACACATACATACATACAAACAGACACACATACCTACATACATACAAACATATGCACATACCGACCTATACACATACCGACCTACATACATACATACATACATACATACATACATACATACATACATACATACATACATACATACATACATGCATGCATACATGCATGCATGCATGCATGCATGCATACATACATACATACATACACACATACACATATACACACATACATACATACATACATACATACATACATACATACATACATACATACATGCATGCATACATACATACATACGTACATGTGTACGTGCATGCATGCATGCATACATACATACATACATACACATATACGTGCATCCGTACATGGAAACGTACATGCACATGTATCTAGGCATGCATGCATGCGTACATGCATACATACACGCATGCGTGTAAACACGCATTTGCATATACACATACATGCATACACACATACATACATACATGCAGACGAACAGGCAGACAGACTGACACATTGACTGACAGGCAGTCAGACAGACATACATACATATATGTATCTATATATACATGCTCATACATTCACACATTCAGGCAGACAGACAGAGAGACACAGGCAGCCAAATAGAAAGGCATACATGATACATACATGCATGTCTGCAAACATACAGCGATATATGCATACATACATACGCATATACCGACATATATACATACATGCACGCACACATACATACGTACGCACGTACATACATACATACATTCATACATACAGCTGCTACATATTTATAAGTGTAAATCTAGATCTATGTACGCACGGCCTCGCGGCCTCGCGGGCCAGGCCTCTGGGCCGCGAGCCCGTTCCGTTGATGCAGGGCGCTGTTTCGCGGATGCACCGTGCGGAACGTATCCACGCGACCCGTCTCCGCGGGCATCGCGCCCCAAAGTCCTGACCGCGAGGGCGTGGACGTGGACCCGTTCGCGGTTCGTGACCACCTCCGCCGCGCCCCGGCCCCGCTTCCTCTCCGCCGCGCGCCGCCCCTGTCGCGAGGAGTTCCTGGAGCAGCTGCAGCGGGCCTCCGCCGCGGCGGCGGCACCGCGCCCCGCTCCCTCCCCTCTGATGGGGTCGCGGAGGCTGGGAACGGGCTGGGGGTCTGAGGTGGCGCAGCATGGCTCAGGAATGGGGGCGAGGTTCGAACACCCCGGTTCAACCGGCCGGGTTCTTTGTCGGTTTTGGCCCCGGGGTCCGTGTTCGGGCGCCAGGACCGTCAGAAACGGAGCTGGGGCGAAAGGCTCCACCAGATGCACCCCGGGAGGGCTCGGGAGACCGATTTTGACAGGATTTGCCCTTACCCCTCCTTCTTGACTGATTCTCTCGGGGCCCATCGGCAGGCGGTGTGGATACGGAGATGTGCTGGCCCTGGGGGAGGGACGAGAGAGAGAGAAGCAGGCGGACTACACGCGCGCTGGCGGGAGGCCAGGGCCGTCTTGACGAGGCAGGCAGGCAGGCGGGCAGGCGGGCAGGGACAGAGGGAAGACAACAAGCATGGAGCGCAGAGAAGGAGGAGGAGGAGGAGGAGCAGAAGGAGGAGGAGGAGGAGCAGGAGCAGGAGGAGGAGGAGGATGGTAGGGAGATGGGCCAGGGCAGGGGCCGGGAAAGAAGGGCCGCCTGCCCCGAAACGGGCGCTTCCCTTGATGTTTTGGCGCCTTCAGCGCCGGGAGGCGCCTGGAAGACTAGCTAGACTTAAGTCGGGCCTGTCCCTCTACAGGAGAAATATTCCAAAATAGTCACAAATAGTCCGGGGGCGATTTTTTTTTTTTTTTTTTTTTTTTTACTATTTTTGACCATTTGGGAGTATTTGTTGCGTATTGTTTTATTTTTCGTCCAAAGTCCGCCTGTAGGGGGACATGCCCGACCCAAAGCTAGACGTGAGTTGACTAATTCGCTGTCCCCCAGAGCTCTGCGGTAACTCAGGCCCGAGGGGGTCAAGCTTGGGCCCTATGGACTCTCAGCGTCCGAAGCGATTCTAGATGGAGGCCCGGAATTGGGCCTGTGACCGTCAAACATACAGTCGGCCCGGATTAGTAGGTCGACCCTACCAGCTCAAGGGTACCCTTGTGTCCTGTGCCTCGCGACACGTGCCTTCTTACACTCCGATGGCGATGCGGCCTTCGGAAGAGCCTTGTGTCCTCTCGCGCGTCCTGTCCAGTTAAGTCCGACTGTAGAGCTCGGAGGGGACGATGGGGGCGAATAGCCCCAGGGCAGGCATCACGAGTATTCGCCCGGGGGGCCTCGCCGAAGGCAGGGACCATCGGCGGCTCTGGATACGTGTATTGCTCTCCCCTTGGCTATTCGCCCCCATCGTCGCCCCTGAAAATCCAGGACGAGAGATCTCCTGCCCAGGGAGACCTCTTGGGGGGCCCTCTTGGGGCATCCTCGAGAGCCTCGGGAGCCATCTTGGGGTCACCTTTTACGAGATCCATCAGAGGAGGAGCTCCTTACTTGGGTCCCCCCCAGGCGGCCAAACTGTGGCCCAAACCTGGATCACATCAATGATTTTGGACTTTTCTCCGAGGCCTCTTGGGGGGTCTTGGGTGCCCATGGGGGGCCTCTTGGGGCATCGTGGGGGTCTCTTGGGGGCCTCTTGGGGCATCTTGGGCGCCTCTTGGGGGCCTCTTGGGGGCCTCTGAGGGCCTGCTGGGCTCCTCTTGGGGCCCTCTTGGGCGGCCCTCTTGGGGCACCCCATGGGAGCCTCCGAGGCCATCTTGGGGCCATCTTGGAGGAGATCGATCAAAGGAGAGGGGCTCCTCTATTAGGGTCCCCCCCCAGGAGGCCAAATTGTAGTCAAAACCATAGTAAAATCACTGATGATGTTGGCCTTCTCGCAGAGGTCTCTTGGGGGGCCTTGGGTGCTTCTTGGGGGCATCTTGGGGCCCCTTGGGGGCCTCTTGGGGCTCCTGGCAAACCTTTGTAAATCCAATGGTGTTGGCTTTCTCGCAGAGGCCATCTTGGCCGCTCCGATGACCCGCGACCCCCCCTCCCCCTCCAGGTTCAGGGGCTGGGGGTAGGGGGAGGAGTCAACCCTTCACCAAAGGGGAATAAGGCGGCCCAGCAAAGGAGAGTAAGGCAGTTGGAAGAAGGAACTCTCTAAACCACTCGCGCCCAAGAGGGCTGGTGGGATTGTGTCGAGTTGCTGTAGCAAAAACCGGCTCTTCACAAAACGAGAAAGAACCCCTGGGCCCCTAGGCCAAGCCTGAAATCACATCGTCGGGTGTCTGGGTTCGCGCGCAGACGCAGACGCGCTGCGCTACCGGGCGGCACATCACGCAGCCTGCCTGGCTCTGGCTGAGCACGCATGCCGAGATGTCTCTCTGGCGCCCGGCCCTCGCGCGGCTCTGGCACTCGAGCGCCGCCATGAAGCAAGCAGGTCCTGTGAGGGACGCGGGCCCGGAGGTTTCGCAATGCTCACGGGCCCCCCCCTGGCCCTCCCCAAATGACTCGTGACGAGGAGCTGGTCTTGGGGGAAAGCCCGGGGGTCCAGGACCCGCTTCCCTGGGCCCCCTAGGTGGGGTCGGAGCAGGTGGGGTGGGAGGATCGCGCCGCATCGCCGGTGCATCGCCGATGCGGCTCGATGTGGAGCCCGATCTGCTTCACGTCGACGTCGCCGATGCATCGCCGACGTCGACGATGCATCGGCGATGCGGCGCGATCTTCCGACCCCTGCTAGGAGGCCTCTATTCTATCGGAAACTGGTTCGTCCATGCCCAGACAGCCACGCGCAGACGCATACGCGCTATACGCTGCAGTGGAGACGCTGAGATAAGGACGATTTCGGGCTTGGGAGGGGCTCTGGCTTTCGGCCGTGTTCCTTCGATTTGCTTACGTCGTGTACCCGATTTGCAGCCGAGGCTTGCCGTGGCCAGGAAAGCCGATTCGTTCCTCGGGCAGCGTTCCTTATGGCGCACGTTGATTGCACTCTTAGAGGTGGAATTACTTGAGACTCACCCAGCCCCTTCTGCACGTGAGGCGACTACGAATGCGAATGCTTCATACAAAAGAGGACATTGCGAGATACGCAAATCTCAGCAATGCGATACAATGTCGGGTCATGCACGTCGCACACCTGCGCAACATAGAACAGGGGATAACAGTGGAGGAGGAGGAGGAGGAGGAGGAGGAGCAGAAGGAAGATAATGAGGGTGAGGAGGACAAGGAGGATTGCGAGGGAAGAAGGAGAAACGCTGGTGAGAGTAACAGCGCCATGCGCTACATCTGCTCGGATCGTCCGCCCTGCCAGTACAGGTGACGGGCGCCTGAAGAAGGGGGGGGGCACTGAGGACAGCGCCGCGCGCTACGTAACGCTGCAGCGCCCTGCGCTCTGTGATGCAACAGCGCTGCGCGCAGACTGAGGCCAGCCACCAGGGAGCAGCGAACTCCCGATTGGGTCCGCGTGGCCCCCGACTCCGCTGGACATCCCAAGAACCCAGGAAAATGGAGCCAGTTGCGCAGTTCGCGGCCGCCCTGGGAGCAGCGAGGTCCCGTCTGTGTGCGCGTGGCCCCCGATGCCACCTGACCACCTCCCAGGAGCACGCCAAACTGACGACAAGAGCGCAGCTCGCAACCACCCATGGAGCAGCAAGGTCCCGTCTGGGTGCGCGTGGCCCCCGACTCCGCCGGACCTCCCAGGAGCCCCCGAGAACAGTGGCAGTTGCGCAGTTCGTAGCCACCCGCCGAGCAGCGAGGTCTCGTTTGGGTGCGCGTGGCATCCGACTCCGCTGGACCCACCAGGAGCCCACGGAAGTGGCAGCAGTGGCACAGCTCGCAGCCGCCCAGGGCGCAGCGAGGTCCCGTTTGGGTGCGCGTGGCCCCCGACTCCGCCAGATCTCCCGGGAGCCAGCGAAAGTGGTGACGCTTGTCGGTTTGCAGCCACCCCGGGGGCAGCAAGGCCCGGTCTGGGTCAACCTTCCAGAAGACAGCGAGGTCCCATCTGGATTCCGTTGGCACTCCCGAGAGGCCACGAAAGTGACGACGGTTGCTCAGTTCGCAGCCGCCTAGGGAGCAGCGCGGTCCCGTCTGGGTGCGCGTGTCCCCCAATTCCGCTGGACCCCCCGGGAGTCCACAGAGACGGCGACGACACCGCAGTTCGGAACCACCCAGGGAGCAGCGAGCTCCCGTTTGGGTGCGCGTGGCCAACGACTCCGCTGGACCTTCCAGGAGCCTACGGAAGTGACAACAAACATCTGCACAGTTCGCGCCCGCCCAGGGAGCAGCGAGGTCCCGTCTGGGTGCGCGTGGCCCCCGACTCCGCTGGACATCCCAGGAACCCACGAAAGCGGCGACAGTTTCACAGTCCGCAGCCACACAGGGAGCATTGTAGAAGGAAGCAGGATGAGGGGGGAGATGGAGGAGACGAGTGGAGACCACAATGCTCGAATCAAAACGAAAACCCAAGACAGGAGGGTTGGGACAGAACACAAAGACATCCATTTTCGAAGGTCTGCGCGGATTTCGCTGATCGGCGTTGGATCTCCCTGGCGGCGCTTCCGGTGCCGCCCCTGACGCGCTCGGCGCGCCAGGGGGTGGGTCCCAGCGCCCATTCAAGAAGTCCGCGGGGACATTTTGTTAATTCTCCAAGAGGTTGCGCCGTCTGGACTGCCATCTTCAGGGGTCAACCCATCTTTGTTCGGGGCGGCGTGAACGGCCTGCGACCTCAACACGACTGGCCATCGACTGGCCCGAGGCTCGCCGTGGCCAGAAAAGTGTCTTCGTTCCTTACTTATGGTGGCACGATGGCTGTGATCTAGCCGCCGTGTCTGTTTTGGCACAAGCTTCGACTCCCGACGCACCGCCGAGCCCAGGAAGGGACACGCTGCCCAGGGTCTTGCCGAGCCGGTGTCCGCTTGCCCTGGCGCGCTCCTGGCCGAAAGAGTCTGAGGATGCGCGCCGCCTGGCCGCTGCTGCCCGCGCTGGCGCTGGTCGCGCCGAGCCGAGGGCAGGTGGCCAGAGGCTATAAGCCAGTGCCTGCAGTGCGATGCGGGTGCCAGCAGGCATGGCCGGGCGGCCCGTGCACATGGAGCGAGGGCCAGGTGGAG